AAAATCTAAAGAAGAAGATATAGTTTCTTCGTGTTTAATAACCAGTTACAGCTTACTACGGTTGGAAATACCCATCAAGAACAAACTGAAATCTTTAATAAACGAACATTACTTGAATTTGTAAGTGTCATTACCAAGGTTTGATTTGATAATTTCGAATAAATTGAGCATTGGGTTCATTGTTATAAATAAAAATAATATATTTGTAATATCCCAATGAGTATAAAATCCAATTTTCTACTCATTGGAATATTACAAATATATTATTTTTATTTATTACTTGAATTGTTTGCTGCTATCCTAGTAAGTCTATCAAATCTTTAGTACTAAAGTAATTTTAGAAAATCCTTGAAACTGGTACCTATCTTTTGATTTTAATATATTCCGATAAATTTAACACGTCGAAATGTTGAACATTCTGTAACCTAAGAGATTAGGGGTGTAAACATAGATCAAGAGTAATAATCCTGTCACACATTACCCATAACGAAGAAAACATAGAGTGAGGGCTTTTCTGCAGAGAACATTTGTTAACTCACTATAACCTCTAGGTCCTTCAAAAAACACCACAACAATAAGAATTCTTTACCTAGAGCCTGGTAATAGAAATAAGTTGAAACTAGTAATAAATGATTTACGTACCAAACAAAAAAGTTCCCTATTTTCACGTAAACCAGAAAACCTTGTCGAAGACATATGCCTAGAACATATATCCGAGATAAACTATTTATCCCAACATACATCATTAATTGCAATCAAATATTAACATGTTACTGTTTCTTTGTGCTTTCAATAAAACCAAATCACACCATTAAGTTGACAGTATGTTACTATCGATTTTTAGCTGGATAAAATCCTGACGATTACATTTTCAGCTTGAGCTCAGATCAGAATATTTCGATTGGTCTAATTTTCAGTCAATCGATGCTAGAAGCGGGACCGACAACGTACTAAAAGCCTCACTTGCAGGATCTATAAAAAAAACCTGTATTTTTACTACTGTATTTCTTGTTGTCCCGGTTATCTAAAATATATCTTGTTTTCCTTTCATCATTGTTCTAATTTCGGACAAGTCAACTGAAATACAATCGATAAGGAATACTAGACAAATCAGAACTAACATCAACAATACCCGATTTTTATTATCTTAAGTTTAATATTATTCAATACTTTTCTGTTAGTGTCGGTATGTTCATTTCATTGCTTTTCAGTTTCATGTCTTTCACTGTGTTAGTTTGAAATGTGGCAGTTTGGAAGGATACATATTCATACAGAATTCTATATTGTTAACGATTGCCTATTTTTGTATTCATAGTATATGACTGAATGTGTAATTTATTACCATTTTAATGGATGTATGTATATGTATACTTCGTTTTAACAGATGAAACAGATAAATAAAATTCAACTTGAATATTGATCCCCATGAATTTTAATTTGCTTCGATTTCTGAATAATTCCTCGTGCGTAACTTATGATTGTTTTATAAGATAAAACTTTTATTAACATGACTTCATTAAAGCTCTTAGATCACAAACAGAAAACACTATTCAACTGTGGTATTCGAATACAGTTTGAGCAATAAACTTAAATGAACAATAAATACTCATTTACAATCAAATAATAATTTATTCTGCTTATAAACGGTACATACTAATGGAATAATGGAATTCGGCACTATTTTTATTATCCCTTTCAGTTATATAGGTTGTTGAAGCCGATTAGCTTATCTGGACACTCACTAATGACACGGTACAACTACCGGGGATCAATAGCTGCTTTTGTCTTGATTTTGCTTTTTCTTATTTCCAATCCAGTGATTGCAGACTATTTATGAACCACATAGCAATGATTAACCATACCTTTCCAGGTTAGTAATTTCTTTATGCGTTGTTCATACGGTCATTTCATTTAAATGACTATCTGCGCCGTTTTTATTGTTGTTTTTCACGACCGTCAAGACTCCAGGGTCTTCTGTTTGTTTATATTCCGTCGTTTTCTGTTCAAATTCATTGAATTTTTGTGGATGGTATGTCTTATCAGTCATCCTCGTGTTTTATACTCTTTTAAACAGTCTTTTATTGGACATGCATATATGTCTGTTTTCATGTTTTCTATTTATCTATTCCCATGATCATTTCTGTAGTGACGATGCATTTTTTTACTGGTAGCAAACATTCAATTGCAATTTTCGTTTAGACATTTGATTATCAGCTCTCGTTTTTCAATTATGATGGGTTTATAATTATCAATTTTATCTAGTCTTACTTTGGTTTTTATTAACTCATATCACACTCGGATTAGCTGAATAATCCAACTCAGTACGCAAGTATACATCGATCCGCTCAGCTTTTTAAGTGAAATTTACTCAACTGAAGATTAAAGGAAATTGAAATATGTGACACAAACTTCGGACAATTTTGAACTAACTGAGTCACAGCGCGTTAAAGTCGATCAATCACTACATATTGCCTAATAATCTACTTAGTAAAGAATTATAGCCATCAATAATTAAATAATATACGCTTGACATACAATATGTTTAACAATAATCGAAAACGGCAGGTTCTGCTGGATTTAGAATTGACAAAGAAAAACTAAGCTAAATGTGACATCTAGAGGGACGTATAATTAGAGTTTACTAATATGATAAAATGTCTATCGAAATTTTGCAAGCATAGATCACATTTATTTTGAAAGTAACCAGTAACTCTAACCTACTACGAGATTAGAAATTATATCAGGTTTCTGTGAGTGAGAGTCTGGATCCTCAGCCCCAGTAAGGTTGAGTTCCATTTCAGGTGTACAATGTTAGATAGTTAGAAAAACCAATCACTAATGTGAAGCGTCTATTATAATTAACACAGAGATAATTGAATTGGATTCATTTGTTAGTCGTCCTAATCTCTAATCCACAACACAAAACTAACTTCAGGTGACGTTTGTTGCTACAACACAAGTGTATATGACCTGATAACATAGTAACTAACTAAATAAATGATTGACTCATTTACCAGAAGAAAAATCAATAATAAGTCACCTAAGAGAATCATGATTATAACTAACAGATTATTAAAAGCAAACAATTTACCGTACTTATTATCGTGACAATAATAGTAATAATAAACCATGTGATACTAACTATTCTCTACATAATCATTGGTCACTCATCAGCACATCACATTGAAAGTCAAATGCCCTGGTACGGCCGAGAGTGGGGAGAGTCCGCTCTCCCTCTCGAAATACTCTCACACGGCCACGCGTATATAGCCTCTGCCAGGGAAGTCCTACTCACTGCCTTCTCGTGGCGGGGGTGTTGTTTACGAAAATGAGAGGACGAAAAGCGAATGTCCGGCGCTTTAACCGGATTCCAAACCAATGGTGCACATGGGCTCCAGTATCCTGCGGGAACAAATGGCGAATGAACCAATTGTTGGTCACCGGCTTCCATGGGACTGCATCTCCTTACGATGCTTCACTGCCTTGTGGATCAGACCTTTGGGTTGAAGGCTCGGGGTGTGGCCCCCTAAGATAACCACCTGCTTCGGTTTGGGCACCCGGGCAGTATCACAGCCCTCACACATATCGGATGAGATTTGTGTGGCGCATATGTATTTGGTGCCTCTTTGTACCATTATCTATGTGTTGAAATAAATAAACATTATATAGCATAAAAATTATTGTCTTTTAAAAAAGTCACTAAATTTAACCTGACGCTCATTTAAACAGTATGAATACTAAACAGAACTATTCACTTACACCTACTGAGAATATTTATCAAATGTGAATAAGGAATAAGGTATGTGATACATTATGTCAATATAGTATTTATGAATAAATTTAGAGGATTTATGAGTCTACATACAGATTTTATGTTCATTCATTTTGTAACAGATATAAACCAACAGAACTGAGAAATTAGAATCAGGTAAAGATAAAAAACATTGATTATCTATAGCACTAAATATATATATATCTTGTTTGCTTATTTGTTATTCACTAATATTCCTGTTAAAATCATTTATTCATACATAATTAAGGATTAATTGTCACATCAAAAATTAACTACTAAATTAACTCAATAATAATCAAGCATAGATAGATTCATTCAGATTTGAATTACATTACTTGTGCAAGAATTAACTATGCTAAACAGATGCCCGAAACCAGTAGGAAGGTGAAAACCGGTTTGAATTAGTGATTAACTATCAAACTCAGACAAATGTATTGGAGGATAAAATAGCACTACTAGTTAATTATTAGAGAAATATTTCTAAATGAGGTTCCTATTATCGGGTCTACATCACACGATTGACTAATCAATAGGTCAAATGCATTCTCTAGAACTAATAATAAAAAGTCACTTGTTCACTATGTATTTGTTGCAAAATTTACAAGTAAAAAGATTAATTGTAAAAGAAAACTAAATACATGTTCTGTATATTCCACGAAAAGAAGGAAATATTTGTTCAATATTACTTAATGTATGACGCCTAATTAACCTATCGTGAAGGCTATTTTTCAAATTAAGTAGTTCAACAATTTATTGATTTATACAAAACATAAATGCGCCAATTCGAATTTAGATCTTGATAAAGTTAACAAAACTAATCATAACAAACCAATGAATTAAAACAATATGACTCAGTGTATTCAATCACTAAAGTGTTTGTGTTCAAATTATCAGACCGATTAACGAATTGTGACGGTTTCTTTGCATGATTAAATAAAACTGAAAAAAAAATATCTGATCGTTTTTGTATACTCCTTTTGTGATACTAATCAACTGTTTAAAGTGAAAAAGCAGAGTTCGAGTTTGCATTCCAATGAGTGAAAATTGAATATTCCACCTCGACTGCATTTACAGGTAAAAAAAATATGATAAGACCTCATTATAAGCTGAATACTTAACCTTTAAATAATCTCTATTAGAAGACAAAAACACTTAAATAAAACAAAATTTTCCCTTAAATAGAAACGTGATGAATTTTTCAACTTACCAATAACACTTTGTAATGCCTTGGATATTTTGAAACATTAGCATTGGTAATATTTGCATTTTCCATTCATTCACGAATGATTTGAAAAGAACCAACGAAAGTCGATTAAAAAAAAACAAAAGATGAAAAAAAATTATTATTATGGTAATAATAAAGGAAAATTACACGTGAGGACTTACTAAAATACATCAATCATAGTAACTTGATAAATTCATTATCTAAATAGTATGTAGGCAACACGTTAAAAGGAATTTTTACTCGAAAATCCCATTGACTAAATAAGTAACGCTTCTTTGTTTTAAAGGAACGAATATTTGAGAAAGGTTGAATCTTTAGAACTACTGTAGGGGGAATTAATTTGTATATTTTTATTACGTAATTACTAAATATCTGGTTTAGAATTTTATATTGTTTTAATTATGAACTTTTATTTACCTCGTTAATTATTGATGTAGGTTTTATTGTTTCGGGATTGTCGTTAATTAACTAATCAAACACTTCATCTGGATCCTCTATAGGGTTACTCACGGTAACTGTGGATTTGTGGCTAATGCATTCGAATTTCAGCCACTACATCTTAGGTTGGAACTTTGCCCAACAGCTGGAGTATGGTACATACCCAAGCACCTGACGGATGAGTTAATTATTACTATTTATAATGTTAGACCCTATCGCGAACACAAGTAGACGTAGAGGGTCTAGTATAAAGTTGGAAACTGCAGGTACGAACAAGCGAATAACAAAGAGCAATAAAGTTTATCAGTGGAACAAGGTGCAATACCCGGGAACTATGACAGAAAGGGCTGTAAGAGAATGGAATATGGAAAACCATATGATACAATTAAGTCTGTAGGAAAATATAGTGAACCTGAACGATCAGTGAGGAATAAGGAAGAGAAGCCAATCACTGAGGATGAGAAGGAGAGAAACAAGTGAGTAGAAAACTTGATTATGGGAATTTATTTATTTATTTGAACACATAAAAAATTGGTACAAGAGGGGCACCAGATATATATGCGCCACACAGAACAATGAGAATGAGAAGAGAAAAAGAAGGTACGGTACATATAAGAAAAAAACAATAACGACCACTGATTTGTGTGTGGCAGTGTAATACTAATAGGAAGAATAATGGGGGAAACGTAAAGGTACAAGCAGAAGAATTCTTTCAGTTAAGGAAGAAGCAACCACTTTTTATGAAGAAAGTAAAAGAAGGTTACAGCAGAATCGCTAATGGCTTCTGTTCTGAGCCATATCTGATAACGTCTCTATACACTGTGTAGCACCATCTCTCGGACCCAGCCAGTGAGTCGTGAAGAACCAACACAAGGCAGCCCTTTGCAGCTTCCTTTCATACCATGACACTATGTCATATACTGACCACCTCACTGTTTTTTACGACCAGTCCCAGAGTCGGCAAATAATGCACGACGTGGAATTCTCTGAGACGACATTCGTAGAACATGTCCAGGCCACCGAAGTCGATGTTTCAAGATGGTGACATCAATTTCATTATCGCCTCTGCACCCGAACACACGATGCCAAACCGCTGCATTACTAACATGTTGTTACCACTGGATGTCAGCAATCCTTCGGAGACAACGATGATCGAACACAGAGAGTCGTTCAACATCATCAACCCGGAGAGTCCAGGGTTCACAAACATAGAGAAAAACTGCTCTCACCGACGCGTTGTAGATCCGACCCTACACAGCCAGAATGACATCACAAAGGAGCCGAAGGTGGCCCAGATTGGCATAAGCCGCTCTGGTTTTCATTATACGTGAATCGATCTCATCACTCACGCCACCACCAGCAATTATGCAGCTACCCGAATACACGAACTTCTCGACTACTTCTATCTGCTCACCATCCAGGGTGAGTACAGGATCACGGTCCTGTCACTCTTGTAGAAGTACTTTGCACTTCGAAGGTGCAAAGCACATACCGTACCTACGGACATTGATTGCCAACTGATTAAGTGCGGATTGGATGACTTGGGCATTATAGCACAATAAGACAATATCATCCGCAAACTCAAGATCGGGAAATCTTTCTCCAGGCAACAGATTCACATCGCCACTACTTACATCCATCAGAGTTGTTTCCAGAATGTCATCGATGGCAAAGTTGAGGAGGAATGGTGAGATTGAGCAACCCTGCCTAACCCCACTGCTCGAATGGAACAATGGAGAAAGGTGGTTGTATGCCCTCACTCTACATGAGGTGTTTGTATATAGGGCTTTTAGGATGTTAGTAAACTTCTCAGACACACCATACTTCGATGAACAATCCCAGAGAACAGTCGTGTTCAACGAATCGAAGGCAACCCTGATGTCATGAAACACTACGACTGCTGGCCTGTGATAAGTATGAGAAAGCAGTTGAAAACATGGATAGAGACCTTGTGGGATCTCCCTAAACGTCACAGAGTACCTAAAATGACCCCCTGAACCTATGCCTACTAAGGATTTAATTTCAATATTTGTAGAGGTGATTCAGTCAACTCGCCTAATGGGAACGACTCCAAGTAACTGATCGATCTCATAAACAACTGATTTCAAGCTTGTTTCGTTTGTTGAAATTACTGTTGTTAAACCACCCTGTACAAATTGTTGCTCTTGTATTTAGAAATAAAAGAATTATCGATCGTTAAATAAATAAAACGGAAACCAGAGTTTAGAACATTGAAATTATGCAGAAAAAGTAAAACTTAAAAACGCCTATTAATTGAGAGAATTCGTTAGACAAATTTCTGGACAATTAAAATAATTAAATATAGAATTAATTATTAAAGTGAATGCATATAAACATAACAAGGAATAATCAGTTACAATAACAACAAAAACTGTCATGAAAGAGTTCACACTAAACACTGTTTTATTCAAAGTTGTAAACTCACTTCACATATCTCTTCAGGAGATGGGACTGATTGGGGAACTATGCAAAAATAAGTGGTAGATAATTGAATTATTAAAAATTCGGTCAAAATATTAAAAATTGTTTGTAATCTCTATTTACTTAACCCAATGAAATCTAGTGTAATATAATCAACTACATGTTCATGTTTCAAAATGTGGGGGTAGGGATACCATCCAACAAGCGAAGCTAAAAATTAATTGGAACAGAAGTCGAGTCTTTTTACGCAATAGTTGGGGCCAAAAATTGGTCAAACTGTTGAGCAGTAACTTTATCAATATGATCGATACTTTGATATCATCAAGTTTTAATTATTAGTTAAGTAAACTTTTTATCGCGAGACCAAAACAACATGAGAAAAGTTCGTATCTTTCAACGACAGTTTCAAATCTTTGCCTTTTTAGATTATAACATGATTATAGTTGCTGCTTCAAGCAAAATAACTTTGCTAAGTAATGATGCTATTTTACAGTATTAATTTTAAAAGCAATAATTCGGTAGTTGTCATTTTAAGGTCAATGGTTAGAATTATCCACTAGTTCGCGATATTTTACACGTTTAGTCATTGAACATGTGTTGAATTTGAGAAGAGAATTGTAGAACTAGACAGATAAAATAAGGCAAAACTTAAGTAGATCGATCTATGAAGTCAGTGACTGTTGAACTGAATCGTGTAAGTAGGTGCACACTATCTAGTTTAGGTTCACCTGAAAAGCGTAACCAGTGGTTAGATAACTTGGATGACGTACCTCAAAATCGTTTGCCATAGGTTATGCTCACTCACTCTTTATTTTCCTTTAGATCAAAATTTTCAAATTCATCCTAAACAGTGTTTTACACTATTAATTTATATTTTCTTCTCGGATCATATCCCTTATTATTAGGGATGGTGGGAGAATCCTAATGGTGCAGGTGCATCTGCTTTTTGTCTTCCCTCAAATTTTGAGATTCTAACTTCCTCATAACTTTTTTGTTTTTACTTTGTTCATTTATATCTGTTCTTCTAGTCGTATCTTTGATGCCCAATCTTTCCCATTACTACTGATACTGTTACTACCTCCACTATCCCGAGATTTGGCCTGACGTCTCTGGACTACTGAGGCATGGCAACTTGAACAGATATACATACGTACAGATTCTACGTTGTGATTGACTGACTAGCTGGGAGAATTCTAGTTGCATATATTTCCGTGGACTGATCAATGGGTTTTTTTAGATATGAGTAATACTATACATATCTTTAGAGCTAAAAAATCCCTTGTTGTTTGATCTTGATAACTACGTCATCTGATTAATCCTCCATGATTAAAGTCATTTATCACTAAATAGCAAACAGGCATTATTAATATCATGGTGCAACTGTGAATCGACAATCGTTCATCCCAGATTAATACCAACTCACACCAGCAAACGAACTAGCATGATTCGGTAAGAGCTAGTAAAAATCGATAAAAATGATAGAAACTTCATTTGGTTTAAAGATGGAGGCTGTTTATCCATTTTTATTCATCAATGTTTGTGAAAGGATGATTTCGCGAAACTCAAAAAGATTAGTAAATCTAAAAGTCGAAGGCAAATAGAATGCTTGTAACGGGTTCGACGGAACTGTAGACAACGAACATCAACTGTATGGCACTACTTAGATGGTAACTCGCAGCAGACTGCTACACAAACATATGGTCCCGAATAATTATATCAAGTATTCAACTACATGACCGAGGAGAAATGTTGATAATTTAACGGCTTAAATTCATCTTTCCATAAATATCTAAACAGCTAATATTCCAGTTTTATATTACTTTAACGTTTGCGTTTTGTTGACCTGAGGATTTGACATAGAAAAAGCTTCAGAAGATGCATCATTTTATCTGCCAATTAATGAAGCTTAAAACTTGCAATTAATTTCGATGTTATTTTTCTTTATCTTGGAACATCAATTACCTGGAGTTGAAAGCAGTTCACCATTACAATGAGGAACATTTCCCTTTTGGACGTCTTTAGGCACGTCCTGTCCGTTCACCACCACAGGCGACGCTTCAGACGACAGGGGACTCAGGGATTGCTTGACTTCAGTAGAGTTATTAGACTTGGGGAGAGGTTTGGGTAGCGGTTGAGGGTTCTGTAAAGATTTCTTTGGTAGTTTCTCAGGATTGGAGTCAACTGATAAATTTTTTGGTTGATTTGTGTTATCGTTTGGGCGATCTCCTTGGGCGGATGGTTTAGTAACAGACTTAGGTTGATTTTTAGCTGGAAGACCTATACCACCACTTCCAAATGGATTTGACATTTCATCAAGTTCATCCCAATTAATTTTGTAAGCGCCTACACCACTAACTGGTCGATCGTCCATTGTTTACAAGAACCTGTAGAAATGAACTAAATGGATCAGAAAGCTACAAATTTATTTTTAATAACCTGTAAAATAATAGCATTGACGGTATCAAAGGCGAAGATATTATAAAAATGGCAATCTTTTAGATACGATACAACAATAAAATAATCCAATTGAGTAACAAGGTAGTAGTTCTTATGCCTTCTATAAGAAAATTAGTGATATTCAGCTACACGGAGTTCAGTATTACCCAGAAAATAAAAAGCAGCTATAGAAAGTGAATATGAGTTACAAAACATGTCTAATTTACAAGTACAAGGTGCTGTCGTCGGAGTAATAACTACATTCTACTTTAGTACCAGTATAAATATACAACGATATGTTAACGACTGACAATCTTATGATTTCTTGAAAATTTAATTTTCGTTGGCTTGATAATAGGAAATTGAAAGGGTTATCTGAAAACACTGATGTGTTACTGAACCCCTTTGGCTTTAACATAAACAGTCAGTCATAAGCAACGTAAAACCTGGCATTCTCACATTCATTTAAGTTATTACATCTAATTTGCACAGTGAGATAAGATTGTCAGACCAAATCGTAAAGTAGGAGGAAGAGTAACAGTAATAGTAATAGAAGCGATTATGAATCGAGGACACAACGGACTGGTAAAATAGGGACATTCTTAATGTAATTTCGAAATTCGGGGTCTAAAGAAAGGCAGAGTGAATGCACTTAACCCGTTACCAAAGATTTTGAGCCGTCACCCAAAGTCTCTAATGATTGTTTACGATGATTGTGTGGGCACTAACCTAGAAGAAAAAATTTCCCATAAATGCATTTTCAAGTGCTCAATTGCCGTGTAGTAAAAAATCTACCAGAAAATCACATCCAAGACATAAGTCCAAGTATACTATAGAAATTAACAACTATCATACGATAGAAATGTGATTACAGTTTATAGGCAAAACCTAAATAAATGAAATAGATAACAAAGATTTGTATAGACGTTTTTAGAACTACGTATAAAAAACTAGATACAAATTTATAATGGTCATGTAAAGTTTCTAATTTTCTAGCCTCAAACTGTCTCTGCTGGTTTTATCATAACCCAAAAGGCCTTTCCGGTTTTTAGTCTGCACCCAACTTTCCTAAATAATCTCCACACATAAAGACATGATATAATGATAATGAAGTGAACTGGCTTTGTTCAGCCTCATCATGCATAACGACAGAGCACAAATGTATATGAACATCACAGAACCAAACAAGCTTTTATCAGCTAATGCACAGTGAAGAAAACACTTTTTTTTAAAAACCAGGAAATAAGTGGTTCGATTACTTTTAACAGTGAGCAGGGAAATCAGAACTTAAGGATATATTTTAGCACAGTTTTTTTTTAAATTAATCTATGGTACCAGCTTAAACTAGGCATATAAACAAACGAGACAATTTTCGGCAACCCATATTATCGATTTCAAGTGATGGAGAAAGTAATTTTCGTTTAGCTTTAGTCGATGGTCACCTGTAGATAGCTTTTTTAGATAATTGGATAAAAAGTATTGAACACCATGTATTTTGTAGTCTCTGCCCAGCCACACACTACATACAGCTCACAGATGTGACACAGTATAACTTGTACCTTAACCACTGGGTTATAAGTTTGGACCCAATATCACGTCACAACCGGGTAGGAACATCGACAGCGGATATCTCCAACAGTGTATGGAAAACATTATTTGCCAGGTATCACATTAATAACTAAGATAGAGTTCAAAATCATATTCTACTGAGAAATATCAACTGTGGACTATGAAGTAAAAAGAATGCATTTATTTATGCGAACTGACGATAGTTGCGATCTAATTTCTCGTCTGAACCTTTCTCTCTAAGAGTTTTTTATGATAAAAATGCCATCGTTAAGCTGCATCCAATGTAAGTGAGTAACAGCGTAGTACGTGAGTCTGTAAACAGAATAATACAGGTGAGGATCACATACAAATACGGCTGTACAACATCAGGAAGTGACATCATTGGAAAGTAAATTTTCCTCGCCAGAACGTTCCCATTTATCTCCATGTGGCCGCGATAAATTCTTAGTTACCTCGACGAAACTGGAAGTCGTTCGAAAAATCAACCGGTGAATGTAGTCTGTATTAGATACTGAACAACTCTAGATAGAGATAGTTCACTAATCATAGAATCATGTACAACACACTGATAGAATTGACCAACTAGTATATAAATTCCAAAGTCATTGCTTTATGAAGTATGAGTCAAGAGGTGAAACGCAACCCACAAACTAGCCTTTCCTAAATACAGTAGCAGAAAATTCTATAATAACTGATCAAAACGTAATAGATCGTATAAACATTTTAAAAAATGACAGAGATATGATTTTAACCGTCTAACTTGGAAAAATCTACGAACGAGAACGTTAGAAACACCTCGAAAATACATCAACCAAACGTTTGCAAAATAAACCAATAACAAACCTGCATAAAATAAATGACGATATCCAGAAATATTTCGGGGCTATTTTGCTCAGAAAACCAGAACCAGTGAACTTTCCAATTCTGGAATACAAATAAGGAGTATTAAATTGTCAATATTCTTTAATACCAATAAGGGTATGCCCCAAAGAGACTATTTAAAGCTAGACATCAATAACTTGCTTGGAGTGACCTTCAATTCTAAAACCCGCCGATTAGCAAACAACCAAAGTTGAAGTTATAATCCTGAAACCCTTAGAATTCAAAAGCTTTTTTTAGAATGGCAGTAGAAATGCTTACTCTATCAATTTCTCAACAGTCTTTTTTTATCAAAATAATCTTTTCTTAAAGTAGCGATTATGGCTATAGAACAAAATTATTCTAGGTTTTCTAGTTGGCTTCGGAATTTATTAAGCTTTAAAGGCATTTTCACCCATCTAAAACCCATGGCAATGCAAAAAAGCGGTCAGTAACCCTCTACAATAAATACCTTTGTAGTCACCAAATCCTGATGCTGGCCTCGTTAATTTTGTGAACACTCAGCTGAAGGTGCTCATTTAATTACCACAATCATGTCACCAAGCGAACTAAAATGAAGTACTTCTCATCCTTTAGATATATATGTTTAAATGCAATCAAATATACCTCCCCTAACACCATCGAATTTTTGTTCCTTGTTGGGTCAAATCGTCAGTAGGTAGTTGGGTAATAGTGTTTTTCCGTGCAGTCTTTTCCATTATATTTTCATGAAAAAGATGAGATGCAACGTTCAAGAAATATGAACTAAAAATTAGCTGCTTACTCAGTAAATGTATGAGTAGCTATCCTAGCAACTCTTTTCAGGAATCTTGTGCCGACTTTTGGTGACCTGGATAGATTTCTTTAGGGTCTACATTGACTTTTTCTGTACACTTATTTTTTTCTTATCTTAATTTTCTCATGTTCACCTTGTGCGTTTTTAATACACGAATTTCTGTGTATGTATGTTTATCATCACATATAATTTGGACTAATTTTCTGTTTGTTCGATGATGTTGTAAACACGAACCATTTTTAGATGTAATCTGAATAACCCCTAATTAGAATCATTTGGCTAGTGTTTTAACTTCATACTGAGTCTACACATCTCCGTATGCACGATTGTTTACTGATGACCGAATGCATGAAACAATTGGATTTCCACTGCATCTTGTATTTCGATTTATTGATTCAACGCTGTACTATGGTCACACAATAGTGGTAAATTACGAATTTAAATATGAGACACGTAAACCATGAACTGTAGTTATACGCGATATGACGGCTTTTCAAACAAAAAACTTGTACTTCGCATGTTGTCCATAATTCTATGCTTCGGTGTGACAGTCAGGAGAAGTCGAATGCAGCATGCTAACCAGCAATATTCAGAACGGTCACGTTCGTATAGAAGTGGTCACATATGTGTAGTAGGCATCGAGTTGCGACTGACTATGATCACCGCTACAGGAACATTACGTACCAGATATTAGGTTTGATCCATTCGTAGACAAAAAACTAAAAGGCAAATGACTGTCGCAATAGAATATATTTGTTGGCAATATCGTAGTATCTAAATAATGCTAAGATCGTGCCAAATAGTGCAAGAGGGACTACGTAGCGTACGCGGAGGCGTTCATCATTACATGAAATTTGTTTGTACTTATGGTCGCTTACACAAAATACATAAAAGAGCTAAAATGTTACTGTCCCGTAACATCCTTCTGCTTACTAGAATACAAAAATACACTTATCAGCCTCGAACTCCGCTAATGACCGATGTAGCCGCCAATTTATGCAGTTTTACGAATTGTCCTGTACTTTGCAGTCATAATCAAAGCATGTTGTGAATAATAGGTTCGAAAGTTAGACTAAATCTGCGTTTTCCCATCAAATGTTTGGTCTAGAATACTTTTTCTAAAGAAAATCCGTCATGTCATATTGCCCATCGATAATTACGTGGCGAAATCGCCACTCACAATACAGATTTTTATGACCTTGTTGATGTACTAAACCAGTGACACGTGAGCCAGCACTAGCAGCATTGAGTCAACTCTCAATTTTCATTGGTCCTTTATATAGAAACTTACCACCTGACCCCACCAGCTCGGACAAGAACTTAAATATGGTCTCCGCTGTATGAATCATATATTTCAGACATATATGTTTTATATACAGGCAGACCAGACTGCAACACACAATAAAATATAAAACAATAACTACATAAGATCAAGCCAAAGGTAGTTGAGCGTATGGGAGGTTGCAACTTATGGGCTGGGAATAAGTTGAGAATGGTATATCGTACAACAGTAGCCAATAGGTCAAACAACATTTTATGATGAAAGGAATGCAAAAACATATATATATATATATATATATATATATATATATATATATATATATATATATATATATATAAAATCTATTTACTTAATAATTACCAATTAAGAATATATGTAACAATAGTCCATATATAATTCCTAGTAGTTACCATTCATTTATTCTTCGTAC